GTGTGTGTGTGTGTGTGTGTGTGTGCAGCTGGTCCTCCTGAAGATCACGGCGCTGCTGTTCCCCACGTCAGACTTCAGACATCCGGTGACGACTCCAGCGTTCCTCTACATCAGTCAGGCGCTCACCAGGGTGTGTGTGTGTGTCTGTAATAATGAGTAGATTGTTTGTTTGTTTTAGTCATACAGATGCTTTAAAACATCTTGTTCACCCAAGACATGATGACTTAATGTGATGGCTCTGTGTGTGTGTTTCAGTGTGTGGTGCTCTCTCTGGAGGACGTGTGTAAGGGTTTGATCCTCTGCTGTCTGGCGCTGGAGTTCGTCTCTCTGTCTCTGAGGTTTTTCCCAGAACTGCTGAACTTTCTGCTGGGACTCCTGCACCTGACTGTCTCCGACAAACGCAACATGGGTACTGCAGTGTGTGAGAGTGTGTGTGTGTGTGTGTGAGAGTGTGTGTGAGTGAGATTTTACTTCACCTGATGAACCTAATGAGCTACTCGTGTGGAAACAGGAAGAGGAATCTGGGTGTTTCCTGTCTGCTTATGTCCATCATCCCGAGCGACAGAGGCATTACTGTATTCACACATTCAGTCTGAGCATTTGATTCTGAACGGCTGTCCATCATGCTCACATGACCATCGTGTGTGTGTGTGTGTGTGTGTGTGTGTGTGTGTGTGTCTCGTGCTGTCATTAACACTCGGTGTGTGTGTGAGAGTGTGTGTCACATGTGCTCTGTGTGTGTGTGTGTGTGTGTGTGTGTGTGTGTGTGTGTGTTGTAGTAGTACTACTGCTAAAGTGGAATAAAAATAGTAAAAACACCAAACTCTGTAATAACACAAGTGTAAGTCTGGGAGTGATGTAATGATCAAAACATGTGACAAATAAAAAGTTATATTTCAGCTTTTTATTTTTTTAAAATGCTTTTCCTTCACTATCTGCTCTAAATCTGCTCTATCAATAATAAATAAATATTATATGTTGTGATGTTGCGTGTGTGTATATATGTATTCATTTGCATTTTCATATGCGTGTTTATGTATATGTAGATCCAGTCAAGTATGTTCAAATGTTCGACAGGGAGCGTGTGTTTGGGTGTGAGAGTGTGTGTGTGTGTGTGTGAGAGTGTGTGTGAGTGAGATTTTACTTCACCTGATGAACCTAATGAGCTACTCGTGTGGAAACAGGAAGAGGAATCTGGGTGTTTCCTGTCTGCTTATGTCCATCATCCCGAGCGACAGAGGCATTACTGTATTCACACATTCAGTCTGAGCATTTGATTCTGAACGGCTGTCCATCATGCTCACATGACCATCGTGTGTGTGTGTGTGTGTGTGTGTGTGTGTGTGTGTGTCTCGTGCTGTCATTAACACTCGTTCTGACTGCCGTGTGTGTGTAGGTTATATGGTGGTGAGTCCGTTCAGACGGCAGGGGAAGAGCTGTGATCTGCTGGTTCTGAAGGATACTAATGTGTCTCACAGCTGGAACAGGAAACCCATTTCACTGCACACAGCTCACAGAATCCCAGCCCAGAGTCCAGTGGAGAGAGACCACTACAGGTACACATGCACACTTATACACCCTCTCACACACACACACACACACACATGCACACTTATACACCCTCTCACACACACACACACTTACACACCCTCACACACACACACTCACACACGCACACTTATACACCCTCACACACACACACTTATACACACACACTTATACACCCTCTCACACACACACACACATGCACACTTATACACACACACACACACACTTATACACACACACACGCGCACACACACACACTTATACACACACACACTTATACACACACACACACACTTATACACTCTCTCACACACACACACACACACACACACACACCAGTTACTGATTACATTATTGATTGCTCTTTGTATTTCTGTTGTTTCATTCTTTTTAATACATGTTAAATCCCTATTTTATTCTTGCTTTATTTTTATTTCTGATGCACCTTTTATTTCTTTTTAATAACTTTTATGTAAAGCACTTTAAGTCACACTCGTGCATGAAATGTTTGGTAACAGTTTTCTTGAAGCCTTAATGTAAACTGCATTGTTATAGGTATTCATAATGTATGTTATAATGCATAATAAAAATGTCTGAAATATGTAATTTGTCATGTATTTGAATGCATTACACTTTCTAAAGGTGTAAAAATGAATAGATTTATTATGACTGTGGTTACAATTATTCATGAGATCATATGATGCACTTATTACAAAGATAAAAGCAGAACACAATAAACAACAGAGAGCAGTGTGCGTTGAAATCCAGCTTTATTTGGTGCCTGGTGAGATTTGGTTCTTTTAGGTGAGACTAGTTAGCTCGGCTGGTTTAGCGGAGGTTGATCTGCAGGAGTCTTCAGGCGATGGTCACCGCTTGAGAACACAACACCGAGACTTCTATGAGCTACGGCTGGACTACTCTTCATGATTTAGTCAACGAGGAGTCGGTGTAACGTCTGTGAATCCAAAAAAATCATCATCTTTTGACTTCAGACTGATTCCAACCCGGCTGAGATTAAACAAGTTTGATATTTTGAACCGACTTTGAATACATTCTTTCTATTTGTCAAGCGTCTCCTAGCAACAAAAGTGCATTGCCAAGTTCTGGCGCCTGGGAAGTTCATATTTATGAGTGGGTAAGTCATAATTACGTATGAATAACAAAAAATTCACACCGCTTAAAGTGCAAAAGGATTATAAAGACCGAAAGGTAACACTTTATCTCATTAGTTAACCTTGCATTCACATTCACTTTAGATACATTGTTTCCATTTGTCATGCGTCTCCTAGCAACAAAGTGAGGAAGTTCAGATGAGTTCAAGTCATTTTGGTGATGCACTATTTCCAGGAAAAAAAATTTCAATTTCAATTTTTTTTTAAATTCTACACCTCCAAAATGATTAAAGATTGCGAATGACTTGTTCTTGATTTTTTTTTTCAATTTCCCAATTTTTATTTCTTTTTTATTTTTTGTGCATGCAGCTTGGCAGGTTTTAATGTAAATGGGGGAAAAAATATTGCAACAAATGTATCATTAATGCAGACGTGGCATCTATTGCATGGATAATAGATAACGCTGGGCTTAAAGAAAGTTCAGTTTCCCGCTCGTAAAGTTCAGGTGCGTTTGATTCCTCGAGACAATCTTTCCAACACGGCTTGAACTCATTTCGTTCGTTCGAGTCTGATGCCCAGTCTTTCCTCGGCAAATGTGAGACACCTAGGGCCTCATTTAAATGATTTAGGACGGATTCTGCGCAACATTTTATAAACGAGGCCCCTAGTGTTTTCTGAAAGTCGTGTAACGATTACAAGCTGCCCGATCTAAAATGTAATTAGTAATAACTTTTCTGAACTTCTAATGTTTTCAAATGTTAATCTATTTCAAACATCAAGGTACACTGATTAACACTTGAATTAAGATAATTTAATTTTAAAGCACAGCCGCCACAAAATCAGACTCATTCTGAGGTTAAATACAGATTTAAAATCATAAGACATAGTTTAATAGCTATGATACTGTTGGTTAAACTTTATTTTAAGGTGTCTTTGTTACAGTGTAATTATACATTTCAGTACTGAGTAACATTAACTACATGCACTTACTATAGGGTTAGGATTATTAGGGTTACTTACATGTAATTATGCATAATGTATTGTTATTATAATAGTAAGTAAATGTAACAAGGACACCTTAAAATACACAGTTTTTGAAATCAAATCTCTGCATAGCTGTCACAGGAAACACTGGCATCGAACAATGCTGTGGACATACAGTTAATCTCAAAGAATAAAGCATATACGCAAATGCAAATAGGAAATAAAGCAGTTATGGAATAAGCATGTGTCCTAAACTCCTGAAACATTGCTGTCTCATATTTTAGAGCAGTCAGTGCCATTTATGAAAGAAATCTATTAAATATTTATGATGTAAACCCTCTTTGTAATCGTTAACATAATTGTAACTGATTACATTTGCATTTATTTTGTAATTAAGTTACGTATGTAACTAGCAGTGTTGGGTAAGTTACTTAAAAAAGAAATTAATTACTAATAACACCTTCAACAGTGTAATTAGATTACCGCACTAATTACTCTCTCTTACATTACTAATTACTTTCTAAATGTAAGTAATTATATATCTGAGTGTTTCGTGTCTATCCTCGTATTGTTTAACTTGACGAGCAACCTCGACTAGTTAACACGAAATGCTCTTTTAATTCTTTCAAATAAATAATATAAAATTGCATGAAGTATTCTAGAACTGTCCAACGTATTTACAGGAGGAAGGTTACATTAAACGCATACATTTTAATATTAGATGCTACATTTTGATGTTGACTCCACTGTTAGAATTATTTTATAGTATAACTAAATATAATGTAGAAACTGTAATTTTCTGCTTTGCAATCGTGAAAAGCGCCATGCAAATACTCTTGAGTTGAATAGTCTACGCAGTATTTAATGCAATTGCATCAGAAAAATTCAGAGTAATCCCTTACTTTATTTTTTAATGAAATGAGAGTAATTAAGAGTTAGTACTGCATTGCACCAACACTGCCTGCGGCGGAGAGCCCGAGCCGCTTCTCCTCTCCTTCCAGCAGCCTCCTGTAGGTGGCGATCTCAGCGTCCAGCTTCAGCTTGATGTGGAGCAGCTGCTGGTAGTCAGCCATGTATTTTCCCATCTCCAGCTTGGTCTGGCACAGCTGGCTCTCTAGCTGTGTGATGATGTGCTCCAGACCGGCCGTCTTGTCCAGATGCGCCGCCTCCGTGTCCTCCAGCTGCTGCTCCAGCGCCGCGTTCCTCGCCCTCAGCCCGTCGATCTGGCTCTGCAGCTCCGTCACCTGGAAAAACACACGATCATGTTACTTTTTGCTTAAAACGAGTAAAAATATCTGCCAATGGGGTAAGAAAAATAATCTTGTTTAGCCTTTGAATCAAGATTATTTTTCTTTCTCCATTTGCAGAAATTTGTGCTTGTTTTAGGCAAAAACTAACAACATTTGGATAATATTTTCAAAAAAACAAGACATCATATATTTAGTAACTTTACTTGTCAAGTAAATGCATCCTGATTCTAGAATTTTTATTTGTTTATACTAAAAATCAAGACAAAAATACTAAGGAAGAAAACATGTTTTTTGCCGTGATAAAGTGTGACTGAACAACATTTTCAAACAATATCAAGGTCATGTTAAACTACAGATTAAAAAGAACAAAGGTTTGAAAATGAATAGCCTATTAAGTCTAAATATTGAAGTATTGGCGATGTGATGAACACCATAGTGAATACACAAATCTGATTGGCTGTTTAAATCATTTAAACACTTTTAGAATCAGAAAGTAGCAGCCGCTCTCTTTACGGGGTTTCCAAGGAAACCGCTGCATTTCTGCTGTCCCATCAGCGCCACCTGCTGTCAGAGAGTGACGCTGAATAATTTGTAATAACTATTCACGGTGTTTGTGAACCTGGTTTGTCCGTCACCTGGTTGTGGAAGACGCTGATCTCCTCCTTCATGCTCTTCATCTGGTCCTCGTGTTTGCCGGCCTGCTCCTTCAGAGTGTCGAATTTACCCTTGTACCACTTCTCGGCCTCCTGGACGTTGCGAGCAGACACAGACTCGATCTCGGCGCGCATGCTGCGCAGGTAAGCGGCCAGGTCCGGTCTGTCGGAGTCCAGCTCCACCGTCACCTTAGACTCCTCGATCTGCTTGAGGAGGTCAGCCACTTCCTCGTCGTGGAGCTTCTTCAGGAACTCGATCTCGGCCACCAGCTGCTCGATGCGCTTCTCCAGGTCGGCCTTCTGTAGCGTCGCGCTGTCCACGTCTTGACGGAACTCGCGGAGAATCATCTCGGCCTCCTCTGTGGATTCAAGAGAGAGGTCACGTAAAAATGGTGTCGATGTGATGCTACACTGCAAAAAATGAGTTTCTTCCTTAGTGTTTTTGTCTTGTTTTCTAGCATAAATATCTAAAAATTCTCCAATCAAGATGCATTTACTTGACAAGTAACATGCTTGAGATATTATGTCTTGTTTTCTGTAAAACAAGCACAAATATCTTCCAATGGGGTAAGAAAAATCATCTTAACTCAAAGGCTAAACAAGATGATTTTCTTACCCCATTGGCAGATATTAAACTAACTGTGATATTTTCAGAAAACAAGACATCGTATATTTAGTAACTTTACTTGTCAAGTAAATGCATCCTGATTCTAGAATGTTTAGATGTTTAAACTAAAAATCAAGACAAAAATACTAAGGAAGAAAATAATTTTTTGCAGTGTACATAGAGAGAACGCATTGTTTTAGTCATGCAATACACTTAGAAATAACACTCTTAAAAATAAAGGTTCCAAAAGGGTGTTTGAACCATTTTTGGTTCCCAAAAGAACCTTTCGGTGAACAGTTCCTGAAAGAACCATTTTGAAGAACATTTTTAAAAATCTAATGAACCTTTTTAGACTATAAACATCAGCGCCACCTGCTGTCAGAGAGTGACGCTGAATAATTTGTAATAACTATTCACGGTGTTTGTGAACCTGGTTTGTCCGTCACCTGGTTGTGGAAGACGCTGATCTCCTCCTTCATGCTCTTCATCTGGTCCTCGTGTTTGCCGGCCTGCTCCTTCAGAGTGTCGAATTTACCCTTGTACCACTTCTCGGCCTCCTGGACGTTGCGAGCAGACACAGACTCGATCTCGGCGCGCATGCTGCGCAGGTAAGCGGCCAGGTCCGGTCTGTCGGAGTCCAGCTCCACCGTCACCTTGGACTCCTCGATCTGCTTGAGGAGGTCAGCCACTTCCTCGTCGTGGAGCTTCTTCAGGAACTCGATCTCGGCCACCAGCTGCTCGATGCGCTTCTCCAGGTCGGCCTTCTGTAGCGTCGCGCTGTCCACGTCTTGACGGAACTCGCGGAGAATCATCTCGGCCTCCTCTGTGGATTCAAGAGAGAGGTCACGTAAAAATGGTGTCGATGTGATGCTACACTGCAAAAAATGAGTTTCTTCCTTAGTGTTTTTGTCTTGTTTTCTAGCATAAATATCTAAAAATTCTCCAATCAAGATGCATTTACTTGACAAGTAACATGCTTGAGATATTATGTCTTGTTTTCTGTAAAACAAGCACAAATATCTTCCAATGGGGTAAGAAAAATCATCTTAACTCAAAGGCTAAACAAGATGATTTTCTTACCCCATTGGCAGATATTAAACTAACTGTGATATTTTCAGAAAACAAGACATCGTATATTTAGTAACTTTACTTGTCAAGTAAATGCATCCTGATTCTAGAATGTTTAGATGTTTAAACTAAAAATCAAGACAAAAATACTAAGGAAGAAAATAATTTTTTGCAGTGTACATAGAGAGAACGCATTGTTTTAGTCATGCAATACACTTAGAAATAACACTCTTAAAAATAAAGGTTCCAAAAGGGTGTTTGAACCATTTTTGGTTCCCAAAAGAACCTTTCGGTGAACAGTTCCTGAAAGAACCATTTTGAAGAACATTTTTAAAAATCTAATGAACCTTTTTAGACTATAAAGAACCTTTTCTGCATTTGAAAGGTTCCATGGATGTTCAAGGTTCTGCGCAGAACCAGTGATGCCAATAAAGAAGCTTTATTTTTGAAGAGTGAAAGGTTCTTTATTGGCATCGATGGTTCTACGCAGAACCTTTAACATCCATGGAACCTTTCCATTCCACAAAAGCTTCTTTAGATTGTTAAAATCTTAGAACACAAAATGGTTTACGAGCTGTTCACTGAAAGGTTCTTTGGGGAACCAAGCATGGTTCTTCTACGGCATCTCTTTGAAATCTCAGATTTGGGAACCTTTATTTTTGTGTTTCATCATCAGGTTTTTTTGGTCATTGGTTTGTTCTCCTGTGGGGCTAAATGGGACAGTAATGAGCACAGGCCATTGAAAACCCCTGTGTGTCCCTGCAGCACAAACGCAGTGTTAAGTCGCTGGGGGATATTTGTAGCAATAGCCAACTATACATTGTATGAGGCATTGCTAAGAACTTCATTTGGACAACTTTAAAGATGATTTTCTCAATATTTAGATTTTTTTGCACCCTCAGATTCCAGATTTTCAAATATTGTCCGATCCTAACTAACCATACATCAATGTTAAGCTCGTTTATTCAGCTTTCAGATGATGCATAAATCTCAATTTCAACAAAATTGACCCTCATGACTGGTTTTGTGCTCCAGGGTCACATATATGTATATATATATTGTCCGGACCTCCGCAGGGAAAGAGATATAGAGACCGGACCTCTTTAATTGAATACCCCTGGTCTACATTCACAATATAAGTGTATAACACCTTTGATGGCCAGCTCCTCCTCCAGCTTGAGTCTCCAGACCTCCACCTCCTCCTCGATGTAGCCTCTCTGGATATCAGCCGCGCCCTTCTCAGCGGTCAGAGCTTCGATGAGCTCCCTCATCTCTTTAAACTTGAGCTCGTACTCGTCCCCGAGGCCGGTGGGCCCTCCCTTGAAGCGTCCCTGAAGGGCCTCCACCTCGGCTCTCAGAGCGCTGTTCCTCTGCTCCAGCGCCTGGACCTTCTCGATGTATCCGGCGAAGCGCACATTGAGCTCCTGCATCACCTCCTTCTCGTTGGCGTGGTGCTGGTGGATCTCGGTGGCCACTTCCACCGCCTGGCCCTGGAGTCCCGTCCGTCCGCGGCTGTACGAGGATCCACGGCATCGGGACGGAGACGGGCTCTGGACCCTCATCCGGCTGGAGCCGCTGACGCTCAGGCTCTTCTGCGAATACGACGAACCTCTCATGACTTTAGACTCGGAGGACTCACACACTCTCACACACACACACACTCACACACACTCACTCACACACACTCACACACACTCACTCACTCACACACACTCACACACACACACACTCACACACACACACACACACTCACACACACACTCACACTAACTGACTCACACACACACACACACACACTCACTCAAACACACACACTCACACACACACTCACACACACACACACACACTCACACACACACTCACACTCACTCACTCACACACACACACACACTCACACACACACTCACACTCACTCACTCACACACACACACACACTCACACACACACTCACACTCACTCACTCACACACACACACACACTCACACACACACTCACACTCACTCACTCACACACACACACACACTCACACACACACTCACACTCACTCACTCACACACACACACACACTCACACACACACTCACACTCACTCACTCACACACACACACACACTCACACACACACTCACACTCACTCACTCACACACACACACACACTCACACACACACTCACACTCACTCACTCACACACACACACACACTCACACACACACTCACACTCACACACACACACACACACACACTCACACTCACACTCACTCACACACTCAGACACACACTCACTCACACACTCAGACAAACACACTCACACTCACACACTCACTGACTCACACACACACACACTGACTGAGAGACTGTAGGGTTCAGTGTTTTTCACGAGATCCTGATTAAACCTGGTAGAAATGTTGCCAGTAGTTTGAAATGTGGAAGTTAAAGATTGACAGTTCCATTCTCTTATATTTTACAAACTACCACTCAAAAGTTTGGGGTCAATATGACATGTATGATGTTAATGTCTTCTAGAGGTCAAATGTCATGTAAGAGGAAGTGATGTCATTTGGAGGCGTGGCCAAAGAAAGGTAGCACAGTTTTCAGCACACGCAAAAATATTTCATATATAACTTCTGTTTCTGTAAACCAGCACATCCAGTGCAAGAAGACTTTGACTTTTTAATTTTACTCAACATTATTTTACTTTATGGACAGACCTTTTTGAGTCATGTTGTTGTTGTTGTTGCAATTTTGAGGTGCTTAGTTTGATCTTATTCTGTGGCGTTTGGTTTATAATGTTTTTTTCCAGGAAACACCAGCACATAGATGCTTGCCTCTGCATGTTATCCACAGCTTCACAACGTTACAGTTTATCACTGGCATGTGTCTTTGACGAGTGCATCTTTGAGCCTATATTTATTATATGTAAATTAGCTCATACAGTGTATTGTTGGCTATTGCTACAAATATCCCTGTGCTGCTTTTGTGCTGCAGGGACACATTATTTGATTTAACGCTGTTTTGCTGCAGTTTATGGATTATAATGTTGTTGCATGAATGCATATCAAGCTAATCTTTGTGTAAACTGTATTTGATGACTGATGCCTCTGAAGTTGATAGTTTAGTTTATAATAACAAACCCTTCCCGCTGTTTGTGTGTCAGCATTGCTCCTGTCTTCCAGCAGAGGGCGAGTACAGATCTGACAATCTCACACAACCTCAATCTTCATCAGCTTCAGCTTACATTAATTCATAAATGATTTCTGAATGTTTGATGTTAGTTTCACACATACTTGTAAAACCGGTTCATATTTAAGGCAGCATGATAATGTTTTAACATGCATGTCCTAAAATTGTCTTTATACTATAAACATTGTTATCTAGTAAGGTTTATATTCAGATGTGCATGAACTTCTACATGGATTCATTGCTTCATTTTTAGGTTGATGGATTCAGAACAGTTTTCTGTTGCTCTGCTTTGCTCCAGAATCTTGATGTGAGATGCATTCTGCTTTAGACGGTCAGAGATCTTATTACTTTAGTTTTTACAGATGTTTCTCACTCACACACACACACACACACACACACACACACTCTCTCA